GATTCCAGGCCGGTGCTCTACGTCAAAACATATTCCTGTAGCTTCTCAATTCATCAAGCTACCTGACCCTCCAGATTCTTGAAATTCAGAAGCCACTTTAAAGCTGCATGATCGGTGCGCAGGGTGAATTTTCGTCCATATAGGTACTTATAAAAATGTTCTACACCTTTGACTACAGCCACCATCTCTCGTCTAGTGACGCAGTAGTTTAATTCGGCTTTTGATAAGGTCTTGCTAAAATAGCCGATTACCTTCTCTTGGCCATCTTGTAACTGCGAAAGAACGGCTCCCATTCCCCCATTGCTTTTCTATAGATCCGTTTAACAGTTTCGTTCCCCAATGCACGAGCCAATGCATCAGCTGGCGTCGGGCGTCGTAGGTCGGTCAAGGCGTATTCGTTGTTGAATGTCACTGTCCCGTAAGTCCATCAGTAATAGCCAACCTTTCCATCAATTCTTCTGGAATATAAGGATTGGCCAGTCGAGACAGTCTCGCAATATCGGCCTCGAATTCTTGTAGCGATTCCGTTGGTTTCATGTTTCACGTTTCAAACTTTTACCATTTTCTTCCAATTTATTTTCCAAACTTTTGCTGTTTTCTTCCAATTTATTTTCCAAACTTTTACTGTTTTCTTCCAAATTATTATCCAAACTTTTACTATTTTCTTCCAATTTATTTTCTAAACTTTTACTATTGTTCGAATTTTTCTAAACTTTTCATCGTTTGTGACAATTCGTCTTCGAAAAGGAACGTTTCCGCTTTCTTACCGCTTGTCGCTTCATCCCGTTCTTCTAATTCTCTTCTTAACTCGGCGACTTTTAATTCGTACAACTTCTTTGCCATTGTAATGTCTTTTACTCAACCCCACACCTGACACCAGTTGTTATGTTGGTGGGTTTAACAAAATTAACTTAAGACTAATAACNATATTTGCAGGTAACCACTCGTCATCGATTACCGTGACACGTCGAATTGCTTCTTCATTCTTTTCCATTCGATCACACTGCTTGCACTCTGTTTGACATCGAATACTTGGGGGAGGGGTACTTTTCCTGCACTGTCTCTTCGTATGCCCTAGTTCTCCGCAATTCCAACACCTTAGCTTTCGAGTTTCTTTATCGAACTTGGAGATGATTTGGTAAACGGTTTCTTCTAAATATTCTGACGAATACGTTTCTTCACGCAGTAGCCGAACCCTTCCCTGTTTGCTATAGGCCCATTTAACAGTTTCGTACTCCAATGCACGAGCTAATGCATCAGCTAGGTCGGTCAAGGCGTATTCGTTGTTGAGTGTCACTGTCCCGAAGTCTATCAGTAAATGCCTCCACTGCCAACCTTTCCATCAATTCTTCTGGAGTATTAGGATAAGCCAGTCGAGACAGTCTCGCAATATCGTCCTCGAATTCTTGTAGGGATTCCGTTGGTTTCTGCTGACGGGTTTTCAGTTGTATGTGATACACCGCTGTTAAATGAGCCTCGCCGTAGCGGAACTCTAACCGTTTTACCAACTCTTCGTAATCCGCCAATTCTTCCGGGGAAAGGGTGTTCGAAGACCAATAACGACAAAAACTGTTTATTTACACTTATTATTATGGAACTTAAAAACACTATTGTATTATAACTAAACTTAGGTTATGAATTATTCTATTTATTTACACTACTATTGATATATCATTATTTACTGCGGTATTTATTTCACTGCTATCAATGTCAATTTATTTCTGGATTCACTTCTGCAACGGTCAATTTATTTCTTCTTCTCTTCCTTTAAATACTCTTTTGCTTACTTTCTGGAACCTTCTGGATACATCCGGATAGTTTATTTTTTCGTTGAACTGTTTAACTGCTTTCCCAGAATGTAGGTACAACACACATATTTACAAATAGGGCGCACATGAAGAAAGGCGCCCGCGGATAGTCGGCGAATCGATAAGCCGTTCACGCGCACATGTGCCCGATCGCACAGAAACACACTCGTGCTCACTACAATATATATCAATATTTACTAATAATCTTGGGCGCTAATCTATTGTACTACTTGAATTAGGCCTAAAACATGTTGGTGTTTTACAAACATGTAATATTATTTTAGCAGAAACAGCAAAATGACTAAGACAGCAAATTACTCTATGTATATCATGTTTGTTGAACAGGCCTGTAACAGCAATTAAGCAGGCAATTACATCACAACTGTAAGATCCAGTCAGAAGAAGGATACGTTTTTTAAATTGGAAAGGAATCCTTTTGGAGCATTTATTGTGAAATATCAGGTTTTGTGTTCTTAATAACTCTAGTTGTAGAGAATAGGTTTTGTCAGTAAATTAAGTCAAAGAAAATAAAGACTATGAGAACGAAGAGTCAGTTACAAGGTTATCCGTATAACGGTTACAAAAATGGCATTTTCCAGTATTTTCTAGAAAAACTGTCTATCCTGTGATACCAGATAAACATTCTATGTTCAGCATCTGTCTCTAGAAAGTCTTATTCATGTGGATAATTATGTGCTAAACCATGTGCAACTACGTAAGAGCGAACTAGGCAAGTAGTCCTCGGATTCGGAACTATCCCTTAAGCTACATTTGGACTGGGAACTGCACAACGGACCGCGATACTAACGAAACCGAGTAAAGAATATTTACCTATTATTGACAAAATCAACCGTTACATAAACGAATGCGAATGTTTCTGTATAACCAAATACGATTATAAACGATATAAACGCGCCTTTCCAGATTTTACATACACATAGAGCGCATCTGCAAAAACCTCAAAATTTTTGACCACGACCGATTCCCACTTTGGTGCAAGGTGTTGATATTAATAGCAAAAGGTCACTGATCTTTTTACAGGTTCTTAAGTCGTCGATTGAGGTTGGTACTGGTCTCTGCTTGTACTTTCCTGATATATCTTTTTTCCTCTTGCTACATCCCAATTTGTATATTTTTTGACGTGACAATGTCTTATAATTCGATGGAGCCGGCTGCACGCACGAAAAAACATGACTCATGCGGCGTTACCTCTCTCTGAGGCGTTCCATTTAAGGCTTGAAGTGCAAGCGAGAGCGCGGAACGAGCGACAAAGAGGCACAATCGGCCTCCGCGTTCGGCAGCGTTCGACATCTGTCTCTCTCCTACTTGAGTGAGCGATGCGTCCGCGTGGACAGCTGCTATACAATAATACATTTCCATTTACCTCCTTCTCTATATCCATACAAAATATCTATCAAACAAATAAAATTAAAATTTTCTTTTGAAAAATGAAACCATTCCATCAGTATTTTCTTATGACGTTGTCACGTTCAACTATCGTCAGTAAACCGACTTTACAGACAACCGATTTTTTTCTGGCGCAACCTAAAGCCTGTTGTAGCTCAGAAAAGGTGACGGTGAAGGTTGGGGAGATTTTCAGCTAGGTTTGGTAGCTTTGCAGTAAAGTCGTGTAGCTTTAGAGGTAAGTTTGGCAAATTTGCAGCTAACTTGAAATAAAGTAGCTTTACAGTTAAGTAATAGTTTCACTGGGAAGGAGTGGTAGTTAGTTAGCTAGAGAGGAGCCTCTATTCTGATTTCTCTTGTATTCTCTAGCTCTTTTAAATGAGTTTTGGAGCTCGCATCTGCGGATATGTCCCTTGTGTTGGCAGTGAAGTAACTTTACAGTTAAGTAATAATCTCACTGGAGAGAAAAGGTAGCTAGTTAGCTAGAGAGGAGGCTCTCCTCTTATTTCCCTCGTGTTGTCTCATCCTTTTACATGATTTTTGAGCTCCCATATGCGAATTTTGCATTGTGCGAGCTTCATGATAAGACATTAGAAGTTAGCTTTCGGATTGAACTTGACAATTTATTTTAGTCAACGTGGACTCGACTCCACGTAGTCTACTTCCAAAAATTCTAATTACTTCATGACACCTGCAAGAATCGCGGCTTTCAATCAAGTCTACGCAGAGTGCTGCTTCCGAGAATCAGACTGTATTATTGTAATAGTATGAGATATATGAGAAACACAGCGGTCAATCAGCTACACGTGACTGTTTTCGAAAATCTGGTCATATTATTACCATTGTATGGTGCATGTATGTAAAAACCGTTGCGATCATCGCTGATACATGTATGATTTGTCGATGCATCAGACGATTATCCAGATCAGTTTTACCTCCCTACCTGACATACACATTCGGCAACTGTCCAAGCAAACTGCTAAATAACCATGAAATTCCATATGAAGTAAAACTAATGTACTAAACTAGAAATCATTAGAAATTTAGGTACAGAAATATTCCCAAGAAGTGATTGATTTATAGCGGTACTTGTAAGAAAAAATAAAGTCATATTGGATTGCGAAAAGCAAACAGAAATGATTTCAAAGGATGCAACTCTAATCTGAGTTCAATGATGAAGTTGACCTATTTTTCACTGAGATGACAGTTGACGATAATGGATTAACGAAGAGGTGGACATAGAAAAGACAGCGGTATTCGAAGAAGAATAGTTATGGATTAGGCTTATCACGAATTACGTTTTTTATGTATTCTATTTCAAAGGTGGTGTGGAAACAAATGTAGGGCAATACCCGTGATTTAAGTATTTCCCTTTTTATCTATGTCTATCTAGCAAACAATTTTTATAATTAACGAGATATTTGAGAAAAATTGTTTTCCTTTAATACACTTTTTCGTCTTTTGCACACCGTTGACCATCTGTAACTTTTGCAGTTGCTCAGTCTTGGTCTTTCGAGAAATTAGAAATTTGTAAGATCATAAAAATAATCTAGTCGGAAAATCTTCAATTGAATTTTTTTAGAAGTTCATGTACAAAGTGACTGGTCCGTGAGGCCAATTAGAATATTATACAAAGTATTTAATTTCACACAACCCATCTCCTTATAGTATGTCATGGAATAACTTCTCTTGTAAGTAAAATAATCGTTTTAGGAACTAAAAAGATCACATAAAGCACGATAGGAACTATGACCCATGTATAATATTTACGTAAATTTTATCACTAATTAATCTCCGTTTTTACTTAAATAGGCTATTTGGATACCAACAGATACTCATCAATTCTGTGGAAGAAATTCAAGTGGCTTTACTTATTATTCCGGAAGCAACGAAGTTATTGTTTCCTTTTATGGTAGCTCTAAACCTCATGGGAAGGGGTTTCGGTTAGAATTTTCTACGACAGGTATGATTAAGGAAGTAGTTGCTTAACTATAAATTAATTCAAATTACAAATTTATTTTAGGTTGTAGTCGTAATTACACTAACTCTCAAGGTCGAATAAAATATGATCGTTACAAACCTGAAAACTGTCTCATGCTTATTTCTACTCCCGAGAATACAACTATTTCGCTGTATTTCATGAAATTTTCAATTTATGACACGCCAACCTGTTCAGAAAATTTTCTTTTGGTAATAAACAAGTTTAGAATCGCTTACGTTTTAATCGATAAATTCTCTTTTGTAGATATATGATGGAAATTCTACTAGTAGTCATGAATTAGCGCGGCTATGTCGATATACAGTTCCAAATCCTATATTTTCATCTGGAAACCAGTTACTTCTACATTTAGTTGTAAATCAACAAATAGCTATGTTCTTCGATCTTCTTTATGTTTCCTCTTCTGGAGGTACTATTAGTATTTGATAATTGTGAATGACTTACATCAGACAAAGTGAAGCTGGCACATGAAAGAATGGCTACGATCATTCGCCCTCTGTTGGAACCATATGAAACAGCCATTGCTGTGGATCTCCCAAACATATGAATACTATTTCTCTGTCAACATCCTTACCTTGGATTTATTAGCAAAATTTTTTACTAATTTCTTTTTCGATACATATGCTCTTAGCATTAAAGACAGTACAACTGTACGGATAGATATACAGGGGCAAAAGATTAGTATGCAGTTTTTTAAGTTTGTTTGGGTCACTTTGTTTAGAGAAGGGTTTGAGGAGGACTTAGAAAACGAATAATTAAAACTAGATAACAACAACATATATTTACAACTTAACAACAACTGGCGTAACGAAAAGAGAAGAGAAGAGGCTTGTTCTGCTGAAGGCGTAAGACGAACTGATTTTGTATTTATGGAAAATGAAAAACTGTTGTACAAGAAAGGAATAGAGAGGGTAGTAGATACGAGTAGAGAAGTATTGAAATATGGAAACTTTAACATTAGAAATACCAAGAAATTGATGGCAGTGTCAACCACCCAAGAAACCGATTGTAAAATTGCAATTAGGAAGAAATGAAAGGTACAGACGTCATGCGGTTAGTACACGAAAGATGAAATGTTACAGAGATTATGGGAAAGTACAGTAATAGAGTTATTTAAATAGATAAGAAAGATACAATAGGTTATTTACAAAAGAAAGGAATTTTTATGGATCCTAATCGAAAATAGAAAAGAAATTATTTAGAAAGGTATTTACAATATGTACACAAAAAGAAACAATTTTAAAACATGTGGTGGATATCGCCACAGTACCCCCCTTCCAGTGATGAAGTCACGAAAATCCCACTTGTAAGATTGTTCTGGCACAAGTGGTTTGGGTGACGCGTCTGGAATGGCTGGAGTATGCTGAAACTCGATCGTCCTGTCATCGTCGGCATCGATGTTGGAGTCGTTGTCGTCCAAATCAGCTATGACGTATGCCGGTTTAAGTCTCTATCAACCAGACTTTGACATCTTTGTTCCTAACGTTGACCACGAATCATGACGTACAAAACGTGGGTTGCAGTAGCTAGGTCCTAGAACACGAAAGGTGCTTTCTCGCCGTGTCTCGTTCCATCCACAGGTCGAAACTACTGCACGTGTAATCTCAAGTTCTGCACAAAGTCTGATGTTGCATTAGGTCCTGTTGTCTGGCCCAGAAATTCGCCCGGGAGTGGTTCGCCGTATACCATCTCCGCCGCTGTAGACTGAAGCTCGTCCTTCCAAACCGAACGTATCCCTAACATTACTGTTGGTAGGGTTTCGGTCCATTTGGAAGAACGGTGACACTTGATTACGGCCTTCAGCTGCCGGTGAAGCCTCTCGACCATCCCGTTTGCTTCGGGATGGTATGCGGTTGTCTTGAGATGAGTCGTACCTGTCAAAGCATTCAGTTCCCTGAACAAGTGTGACTCAAACTGTCGACCCTGGTCCGTTGTAACTCGTAACAGCGTCGCGCGCTATCCAATGGTGGTAGAAGTTTCTGGCAACCGTGGCGGCTTCTTGGTCCTCCATTGGGATAGCTCTGGCCAGCGGCAGAATCGATCCACACACGTCAGAAGATATCGATAGCCATCGCAGTAGGGCATTACTACAATGTCGACATGGACATGTTTGAAACGACTTGACGGTGGTGCAAAGATCCCTGGTACTGACGATACGTGTCGAGTTACCTTCGATTTTTGACAATCCACGCAATTTCTGGCCATCTCCCTACAGTCTCTTTTGATAATTTTAATTGTAGGCTGGTACCTTTGCTCTTCTGTAGCGCGGCTAGCTCTTCGTCCGTGCGTTGCGCTGCTGCTAATTGTTCCATGTCAATTGCGAGCGCGACCTCTTCTATCCGCGAAAGGGCGTCAGCAACAACGTTATTCTCTCCGGGAAGGTGGCGGATGTCGGTGGAGAACTGGCTGATAAAATCCAGGTACCTGAACTGTCGAGGGCTGCATACTCCATCCTTCTTTTCCAAAGCGTAAGTGATCGGTTTGTGATCCGTATAAATGATGAACGTTCTAGCCTCTACCATGTGGCGAAATTGCTTCACGGCGTCGTAGATGGCTAGCAGTTCCCTGTCATAGGCGGCGTACTTGATTTCCGCCGATTTTAATTTCCTGGAAAAGAAGGATAGCGGCTGCCAAGTACCATCGATGAGCTGTTGAAGCACTGCTCCAATTGCAGAGTTTGACGCATCGCAGAAGATAGCCAGCGGTGCGTCAGGTACCGGATGTACCAGGAGCGTCGCGGTTGCCAAGCCCTTTTTGGTGGAGTCGAATGCTGCGGTGGCTTCCGGTGTCCATGCTATAGGTGTCTTACCCTTTACGTCGCCCTTCAGTAGCTCGTTAAGTGGCGCTTGTAAGCTTGCGGCATTAGGTATGAATCTCCGGTAGAAATTTACCATGCCCAGGAATTGCCTCAGTCCTTTAACAGTTGTTGGTTGTGCGAAAGATGCAATCGCCTCGACTCTTTCAGGTAGTGGTGCCGTACCTTTGCTGTTGACGAGGTATCCTAGAAATTTTACCTCGGATTGTCCAAATTTACACTTGGCCGGGTTGATTACGACACCGTAATCTTGTAAACGGCGGAATAGGATGTCCAGATGGGCAAGATGTTCATCGGTCGTTCTTGAAGCCACCAATATGTCGTCGATATACGCGTAACAGAAGTCCAGACCGCGTATCACTTCGTCAATGAAGCGCTGGAACGTCTGTGCCGCGTTTCGCAGACCGAACGACATATAGGGGAATTCGTAAAGTCCAAAGGGAGTGGTAATAGCGGTTTTGCAGATGTCTTCTGCGGCGACCGGGATCTGATGGTAGGCCTTAACCAGATCGATAGTTGAAAAAACGGTGTTCCCGGCTAGCGTTTGGGAGAAGTCGTGAATGTGTCTCACCGGGTATCGATCTGGTACGGTCCTAGCGTTGAGTCCTCGGTAATCGCCGCATGGACGCCATTCGTCACCATTCTTCGGGACCATATGAAGAGGGGACGACCAGCAACTTTGGGATGGCCTGATGGTTCCCAATTTCAGCATGGCATCGAATTCTCGCTTGGCCGCCTGCAGACGATCTGGAGCCAATCTTCTAGGTTTGTGCGCCACGGGTGGTCCTGGTGTCGTCTTTATGTGATGTATCGTACGATGTTTTACGGTTCCGGTTCCGTCTGGGCGTACGACATCCGGAAACTTTGCCAGGAGATCCAGATATGAAGACGAGCCGTTGATAATCTTCACCGTTGGTACCTCGGCGTCGGCTGCTTGGCCTATCGCTGATATTTTGGTTGTGCCATCGATGAGCCTTCGATTTTTAGCGTCAACCAAAAGATCGAAGTATGCCAGGAAATCGATACCTAGGATGGGCCTGCTCACGTCAGCAATCACAAATCTCCAAGTAAAGTCCCTCCGGAGTCCTAGATTGAGAGTTCTTGTTGTCGTGCCGTATGTCGTGATAGGAGTCCCGTTAGCCGAGGAAAGTTGGTAAGCACTCCTTTCACATGGCTGCCGAATGTAAAAACGCGAAAACACACACAAACCGGCACCAGTGTCAACCAGAAATAATTTGTTTGTTTCGGTCAGGAACCAGGATACGGTGGGATGCTGTAGGCCTTGGGTAGTCTGCCGCCATTAACGACTGGCCCCGGAGTTTTCCGCACTCGCGAATTTACCTGGTTGAGTGCATTTTCGCGCGCGATTACCAAATTGTTCATGGCACCAGCAGAATCCGTCCCCCGCGTATCGTCCGCGAGAGTTCGATCTACCGCGCGAATTCGATCGGCCCCGAAAACATAACCGTCCGTGCGAACCTGTAGAGTCCGGTGCTCGAAACTGGTTGGATCGCAGTTCTGAAATTTCGGCACGAAGGTTTGTGATTTCCTGATGGACGGCGTTGCTCATTTCAATTCGCATCTGACGTAACTGTTCCGCGAGCATGTAGGCAATTGATGTTGAAGTATCACTTACTGCGGCTGATGTTGCTGTTGCTGTGGCGATTGTAGATTTCCCTAGAGATAGATTCATCATCTTATCCGCTAGATCGGCCACGTCCTCCAAGGAAGGGTTGTTTTGTGCCGCAAGTTTTGGCTGGATACTGGTCGGAAGTAGGTTGAACCATATTGCTCGAATAATATTGTCGGGAACCGCTGAACCAGCGAAGCCTTTAAGGTGCCGCAAAAATTGGGACGGCTTGCGATCTCCCAATTCTTCATTTTCGAGGAAACGGCGAGTCTTCTCTTCTTGGGAAGCGCTGAGCCGTTTTATTAGTTCCGTTTTGAGCAATGCATAGGAACCATCGCTTAGAGTGGCCACCACTAAATCACTCACTTCCGATGCTACGCGCGATTCGAGACTTTAAGCTATGATCTTCAATTTTTTAATGTTTGAATTGATACCGGCACTCGGGAAAGCCAACTCCACTTGTGAAAACCATAGTTCCAGATCGGTGTAATTAAACTGTGGTAAAGTCATTCGGGTGTTTCTGTTACCGATCATCGATTCTAATGCACCTAAAATATGGGCTTCGTCGACTGTTGGATGTGCCATTATCGCGAAAACACAAAAAAAAGTATACATAACGAAGAAAAGTTTACCTGCGTTGTTTTCACCAAACTCAATTGCACTTTTTATCTTCGACTGATACACTTATGCACTAGAATGTTTGTACGTGTAAAATTCTCACTAGAAGCGTCGGAGGTCACCACTTTTATAAGTTTGTTTGAGTCACTTTGTTTAGAGGAGGGTTTGAGGAGGACTTAGAAAACGAATAATTAAAACTAGATAACAACAACATATATTTACAACTTAACAACAACTGGCGTAACGAAAAGAGAATAGAAGGGACTTGTTCTGCTGAAGGCGTAAGACGAACTGATTTTGTATTTATGGAAAATGAAAAACTGTTCTACAAGAAAGGAATAGAGAGGGTAGTAGATACGAGTAGGGAAGTATTGAAATATGGAAACTTTAAGATTAGAAATACCAAGAAATTGATGGCCGGTCAACCACCGAAGAAACCGATTGTAAAAATGTAATTAGGAAGGAATGAAAGGTACAGACGTCATGCGGTTAGTACACAAAAGATGAAATGTTACAGGGATTATAGGAAAGTACAGTAATAGAGTTATTTAAATAGATAAGCAA